AGCTATGACACCATTAAAGCTTCCTAGAATCCCAGAGTGTTGGTAGCTCCTAGTTACCAAGCAATATAGGCAGTTATATCTGTTGTTTTTGCTATTGTAATTTATAAGTCGTTAACACCTTTCGTGTCTCAATGTTGGTTAAATTCTTCTTCGACATGAGCTTAATGTTTGTTTCTCTGTCGTATTGAGCTTGATTACGGATATCAATTCCAATTCCCAGGTACACCATGACTTCCACCCACAAGTCTATGGAAAATAAAGTTTCCCCCATGGAAGATCTTGTAGGTTTCTGGCCTTGTGAATGAGGCTGTACATAATGTCCATGGGGGGTGCAACATCTGATAATCTACTTGTGAAGGAGTTGAAGCTTTTCTCTGACATTCAGCCTTTAGACTTTCTCCATGTTTTGCCCATGTTTGGTTTAGATTAAAATTAAAATCATATTTTTAGTAAATTTTGATAAAAAAAAATGATGGAACGTGTGCGATTGAAAAGTCGTGAATCTCATGAAAAGTGTCATAAAAATTAATTGTTAATTTTGACTTAAATTTTTTAACTCTACCAAATATTTACTTTATTTAAAAAGTGAAATGATTAATCTTTTGAATTGATGAAAAGTACTTCTCTTCTGCAGCCAAAATTTGATAGCTTCATACGAGTTGTAAGACTCCACTTTTTGCCCGTTTTATTCTGTTTTTCTCGGTGTTTCTAGTACAGTTTTTCTGTAGTCTTTCATTGAAAAGTTATCGACTCCTTTATCTGATCATCCCTTAGCAATTAATTTCCTCTTCTCGATTATTCGGCTCGGCTCGGCTCGGCTCGGCTCGTGCTACTCGTGGCTCGTTGCCAACGAGTCGAGCTTTTTTGGGCGAGCTCGTCCAAAACGAGCTGCTCTGCTCGCTAGCTCGTCATTTTTTACGTCAATTTTTTAATTAAATTTTAAATTCAAAAAACATATATATACACATTTTCTATTTTTAAAAAAATATACATTTTCCAAAATATTATAATTTTTAAAATAAGAAATATACATTTTTTAAAACATTTTTATTTAAAAAAAATAGATAAACCCTCCTCCTTTATCTGGGTTTGAGACCCGCTACTTCAATTTCGAATAGGCGGAGTTAAAATTGTACACGAACAACTTGTTACATGTACAATTTTTTTAAAAAAATTATAAAGATATGAAATAATGAAAATAAAATTTTGTGATAAATGCAGTGAAATTAAATATCACTTACTTGATTACATGCAATTTCGACATATTTATGTTGAATTCG